GAGCGTATTAGATTCCTTCTCACTAAGCCTCAGTTTCTTCTCTTGGAAGAAAGGGGCAGTGTAGAGAGTTAGATGAACGCTAAGTGTCCCTCAGGCTCCAACATCCTGTGAGCTAGCCCTCTGCAGTGGGCTCATGGTTGGGCCTGGAGTCAGGGAGGCCAGGGTCAAGTGCAGCCTGGTCCCACCTGTGGCTGGGGCTCCCACCTCTCACTGCCCCAGGCCACTGGCTAAGCCCGGAAATCACAGGGCAGGCCCTAAGCTTTGAGGTCAGGAGGAGTCTCTACACTAGCCCTTCTCCAGTGGTATCCATTGGGTCCACCTTCCTATGAAATCTCTGGTTTGAATTTTTAAATCCCCTGAATAGCCCTGATGAGGCCAGCTCTGCTCATGCCCCCCCCCCCCAATGGTCTCTCTATTCCCACCACCACCCTGGAGGGGCAGAAAGCACTGGGTGGGAGGGCAATGAAGGCGATTCCACAGTGGCTGCCCTGGACACGGCCCTGAGGAGGAGGAGGGGCTTGTTTATGGAGTTCACTAGTGGGCCCCTGGGGCTCCCCAGGCTGCCAGCCAAACTGCAAAGTCAGGCCCAAATAAAAGGAACTTTCAGGAGGCGAAATCACTGTCAAAGAGGAGTGGTGTGTGTTGTTCTTCTGGCCTCAGTCTGGGTTTTGGGCTTGGACTAGATCCAATGAGAAGTGAAAAGGTCCGAAGAAGTCACCTAGTCTAATCGGCAAGTGACTCACCCAAGGTCACATAACTAAAGTAGCAGATGGAGCATTTGAACTCAGGTGCTAGGATTCTTTTTTTTTTTTTTTTTTTAGGCAATTGGGGTTAAGTGACTTGCCCAGGGTCACACAGCTAGTAAGTGTCAAGTCAGGTGCTGGGATTCTAAAGTGAGCATCAGAGGAGGGCTAAGCTCCCTCTAAGCTCTGCTCTGTTCAAAGGGCTCTTCCAGTTCAACATTCTCTGTTCAATTCTATGCTCTCAGATTACATATTCCAAGAACCCTCCCAATTCAGACATTCCATGTTCCAAGGCTTTCCCACTCCAGGTTCCAAGATCCTTCCCAGTTCTGACATTCCATGTTCCAAGGTCTCTCCCAGCCCTGACATTTCATGTTCCAAGGCTTTCCCACTCCAGGTTCCAAGATCCTTCCCAGCTCTGACATTCCATGTTCTAAGGTCCCTCCCAGCCCTGACATTCCATGTTCCAAGATCCCACCCAGCTCTGACATTCCATGTTCTAAGAACTCTCCCAGCCCTGACATTCTATGTTCCAGGATCTCACTCAGCTCTGATGTTCACTATAGGTTCAAAAAGCCCTCCTGGCTCAGCTCTGACTCTCTGTGTTGGAAGGTTCCACCTCCCAGCCCTCGATCTGTGTTCTAAGTCCTATTTACCATCTGCAGCTGGGCGGGGCAGCTTGAAATTCCTAAGTAATTGAGGATGGGACCTTGTTTCATGCTGCCACCTAGGGGCCATTCTGTGCTACCGTTCCTGCTTGTAGGAAGCGGAACGTGCCTTCTGAATCCTCTGTTCTATTACCAAATGACTCTCCAGGCTCCCCCAGGTAGATTTGCTGGTTTTCTCTCCCGCCAAATCCTGGCAGCTGGCCCTGGCCCCTTTTCCTGGGGAGGTGACTCTGACCTTAGCTCTTGGGAGGTTCCTGCTGGTCCCGTGGATGCACATGCTCTTGAAATTATTTGTTTGTTTATTTATTTTTATTTTTTATTTTTTGCTCTTGAAGTTTTTAAGAATCAAGTCCTGGATCACAGGATACTAGATCCTACAAAAGATGCTACTGCTAATAGCTAACATGGCACCTACCATGTGTCAGGCACTGTGCTAAGGGCCTTACAATTATTTTATTATTTGACCTTCACAACAACCCTTTTTCCATATGGAGATACTGAGGCAGAGGTTAAGTGACTTACCTAGGATCACACCTCTAGGGAGTGTCCAAGGCCAGATCTGAATCAGGTTTTCCTGACTCCAGGCCTGAGGCTCTTTGCACTGTGCCACCTAGCTGCCTGGCTTCCCTGCTGCAGGGAAGAGATCAATCTCTTCATAAGTATTTATTGAACACATAAGGCTATGACCTGGTCTGGGTCCTCAAGGAGCAGGTAGAAGAGGATTGTTGGGGGAAACCAGGATGTTGGGGGTGGGGTGCCGGTCAGATTGACTACTATAACAGAAAAGGAAAATGATAAATGTTGGAGGGGATGTGGGAAAATTGGGACACTAATGCATTGTTGCTGGAGTTGTGAACTGATCCAACCATTCTGGAGAGCAGTTGGAACTATGCCCAAAGGGCTATAAAACTGCATATGCTTTAACCCAGCAATGTCACTACTAGGTCTGTATCCCAAAGAGATTTAAAAACGGGAGAGGAGAGACCTGTTTGTACAAAAGTATTTATTGCAGCTCTTTTTGTAGCAGCAAAGAATTGGAAACTGAGGGATGCCCATCAACTGGGGAATGGCTGAACAAGTGGTGGTATGTAATTGTGACAGAATATTATTGTGCTATGAGAAATGATGAAGGGGATGGTTTTGGATAAACTTAGGAAGATTTATATGAACTGATGCAAAGTGAAGTGAGCCGAACCAGGACGGCATTGTACACAGTAACAGTGACACTGTAGGGATAATCAGCTGAGAGTGACTTAGCTCTTCTTAGCAACGCAGCCATCCAAGACAATCCCAAAGGACTCAACATGAAAGATGCTGCCCACCTCCAGAGACAGCTGATGGCGTCTGAATGCAGACTGAAGCAGACTACTTTTCACTTTTTTTCCCCTTGGATCTTTTTTTTTTTTGGTCTGTGTTTTCTTTCAGAACATGACTAATATGGAAATATGTTTTACTTGACTGCACATGTATAGCCTATATTAAATTGCTTGCTGTCTCAGGGAAGGAGAGAGAGAATGTGGAACTCAAAATTTAAAAAGGTCAAAAATTTTTTTTATATGTAATTGGGAAAATAAAATATTATTTTTTAAAAAAGAGACTGGGGGTGGGACTGGGGAGAGCATGCTAGGTGCTTTCCACTGTCCTTTCTGCCATCCTATGGAGGAGGGATTAGACTGTCTGCTTGACCCGGAAGGGCAGAATGGGGCTGAGAGTGCAAAGAGGCAATGCCTCGGGAGGAGCTTCCCGCGGTGGGATGGGCCACCCCCAGGGGAAGTGAGCTCCCCTCACTGGGGCACAGGCTGCAGTAAGGATTCTTTGTGGATCGCCCTGGGGGTCCATGCAGCGCTAAGATTCTGTGACTTAGTCTATCTCTGCCACTTCACAGAGGAGGAAACTGAGGCCTGTCTGCTTGCTGAAGGTCTCTGCTGGGGCTGTCAAAGCTGGGGTTAGAATCCATATTGAAGGAGAGATTCTTGTATGGGTGCGGGTTGGCCCCAGTGATCCTTTGGGGTCCTTCCATCTCCAAGACTCTGCCACCCCCTCTCTATTCTCCCTTCCCCCACCCTCAATCAAAGCATATTAAAGCTTAGAGATCATCTGGTGAAACCCCTTTATGTTACAAATGGAGAGAGTGAGGCTGAAGTGACTTACCCAAGGTCTCACAGCCAGTCAGGGATGGTGCTAGGATTGGAATTGGGGCCTCCTGGCTGCTGGCCCAGGGTTCTTTCTCTGATCCTCATGTGTTTATGCCTTATCACCAAAGAAGGAGATGGTGTCACAGGTAGAGTTAGCTAAGATACTCCTGTGCTGTCCCCATCAGATCTCTTAATGCCAATGGTTGGGCAAGAAAGCCTTCGTGAATGAATGACTGAATGAATGAAAGCAAGCAAGGAAGGAAGGAAGCAAAGTGGGAGATGTTTAGACAGGGCAGGGCTTTTCTGGGGTGTGACGGCCACGGCCGTCACCCAGATTCCCGTGCGATTCAGGACACGCCTGAATGGGTGTCCATCCTATTTTGAGAGGAAAGTCTCACTATCAGATGAGGGTCCCATCAGCCTTGTTACCATGGTTTTTATCCCAGCAACCAAAGGCAAAAGTTAAGGGAGCAGCAAAGCCTAGGGGCCTCAGCCACCACCCCCCATGCAGAAGAGGGAAACTGCTGGTGACTAGAGGAGTCTAGATGGGAGCATTGCTGGACATGGGGCCAGGACCAGCTGAGCCTTCAATGAGTGACAGCATCAAGCAGCCAGTGCAAATAGCTTAGGGTCTGGAGCCAGGAGAAAAGGGGTGTGATGGATGTACCGTAGGACTCGGCAGTCTGGAAGACCCAAGTATGACTCCTGATGCAGCCTCTCACCAGCGGTGGGACTTTGAATCAGTCTCCGGGTCTCACTTTCCTCCTCTGTAAAATGAGGGGGTGAGACTTCATGGTGTCTCACGTCCCTTCTACTCAAAATCTATGACAAGGTTTCAGATTCGGCCTGGTTACCTTTGTGATCTTGGGCAAGTAAGGTCCTTTCTCTGGGGGCCTCCATTTCCTGCTCTATGAAGTGGTCTTGAGAGCCTCTAAGGGTCCTTCCAGCTCTGGGTCCCTCCACTGAAATATCACAACCCTAAGGAGATAACATGGTATTGTAGAGGCCCTGGGTTCAAATTCTGGCTCTGCTTCTCCCACAAAGCCTTTCTTGTCCTCATGCAGGGGGCAAGTGGGTTGGGGACATCCCCTTCTTCTCAGTCTTTCCACTTGTTTTCCCAGACTGCCCATGGGAGCGATGACATTAGCATCTCCAGTCTCACTACTTGTGAGTTGTCCCTGCTGTACCTGACACTCTTGCTCTGAATGCCTTCTCTGTGGACTTTGGCAGGAGGGGATAGGCAGGGCCCATGCTCTTGCCTCCCAGCCTGCATCTGGGCCCCTCCACCCGGAGACAGCTGCGAACTCACTCAGGCTCCCTCCCCACCCCTCAGTGGGCCACCTGGCATTTCAAAAGCTCTCATCTAATAATTTATCCTATTCCCAGATCCACCCCCCCCCTTTTTTTCCCCCGTGTGGATATGAATACACGAAAAAAGGGCAGGACACACGGACTCAAATGCTTTCAGTTTATTTGGGGCAGTCAAGCTGAGGGGACACGGACAGAGAGGGGGGCTGGGAAGAGCACTGCACTGGAAACCACGGGGAACTGGCTGTTCAGCAGTTTGGTGTTCAGTGATGCCTGGCCAGCAAAGTAAGCACGCTTGATGGACGTTAGTTTCTGGTCAATATTATTTCCTGAAAAAATATGAAACAAAGCACAGGAGATGAGCGGCTTTTGATTGGAGAGCACCCTAACCCGTCACGTTCTTGTCGGGGAGATTGACTGAGAAGCTGCCATGGTGACTATTTCTATTGTTTTGAGTTTTGGAGGTGTCCATAGGGAGATTGCAGGCGGTATCTTTCTCCCACGGGGCCTTTTCTCCTTCCATGAATATTACGGTATTAGGAGAGTTTCACCTAAAGGATGACGCAGTGGCCCAGCAGGAGAAATCAAGCTCCCACCAGTTGAGACGCCCTAGAGGGAGACAATAAAAGAAGCCAAAGGCCAATATTTACCATCAGCCTCCCGATGTCCATTTTGGTCGTGTCCGAGAGGGTGTCCACCTTTGCCTTCAGCAGCTTCCCAGCTTCCTCCATGGCCTGATCGGGTTGGAAACACCGAATGGCTTCGAGATATTCCTGGGGGCGTGCCCTTGAAGAGGATGTCGGCCACTTCTGGGAAAGTCGGGCAAATGTGGGCAGATGCTGGAGCAGAGACAGAAGGGGAGCCTGGGTTCATCGAAGCCGTTTTGCAAGCCTGGCTGCCCTGCCCCCCAAGAGGCACAACCGAGACCTTAGAAGTTAGAGCCCTGAAGGACTCAAGAGGGCAGTCAGTCCAGTCCTGTCCTGTGAGACCCAGGCCAGGCCAGTGGTTTGACCAAGGTCACCCCAATAATTAGTGTCGGAGAGGGATTGGAGCCAGCACTTTAAGGCCAGCGCCTTTCCTACTTTTCCCCACTCACTGCATCCTCTATCCATCGTGACACCTGGTTGCCTCCAGCTAGGCATTTTGACTTCATGCGATCACTGATTCATTTTTGTACAATAATGATGCTGATAATAATATCAGTAACAGCAATGAAGATCAGTCAATCAATCAACAAGGGTTTGTTAATGCTATTTATTAACGCTAATGGAGACAGCTAGGCGAGAGCACTGAGTCTGGAGTCAGGAAGACGGAATTCAAATCCAGCCTCAGATACTAGCTGTGTGACCCTGGGCAAGTCATGTAACCTCTGTTTGCCTCCATTTCCTCAACTGTAAAATGGGAATAATATTGGCACCTACCTCACAGGAGGATTAAATGAGATACTGTTTGTAAAGTGCATAGCATAGTACCTAGCACATAAGAGGGCCTACCGAAATGGTTATTCCTTCACCCTATCAAGGGCCTACTGGGTACTAGGCACTGTACTGGGTGCTGGACATACAAAGACAAAAACGAAACAGCCCCCAGCCTTTAAGCATCGCAAAATGCTTATTATAGATACGTATATATCAGTAAATATACATTTATATATAATATATACTTACATATGTATATATATACATAATAGCATTATATATGTACGTATATAAAGTATAATATATGGGTATATATCAATAAATATACTTGTACATATAATATGTGTACATATTGTATATACATATAGATAAATATTTACATAGATATATAGTAGCATATATGTAGATATTTATGCGTATGTATGTATATATCAGGGAATATATTTATATATAAATATGTATGTATGTGTGAATATGTAATAGCATATATACCTCTATGTGGACACACTCATATAGGTATATATCAGTAAATGTCAGAACCCTGGCTAGCTTCCTCTACCACCTTGGTGCCAGTGGGGTCCCAGAAAGGTCCCCAGCACCTGCAGTCTGTTCACAGAGACAGGCCACCAAAGACAGTCTCTTTGTGGCCCACAGATTCAGGGCAAGCCATCATTCAAATGGTTTCATTTCTCATCTGTCACTCTCCTCAAATGAAATAAGGCTGCCTGTGGTTCAGACTTTGAACTGTGTGAAACAGGCTGGAAATAATTCACTGAAACATCTGGATAAGGCTTCTCAGTAGAGTGAGCAAAAAGCCATTGGTTCCAATTCTGTGCCAGACGCTTAGTAGCTTTGTGACCTTGGGCAAGTTTTTGAGTGTGATAGGGGCAGCTAGGTGGTGCAGTGAATAGAGTATGGGCCCTGAAGTCAGGAGGACCTGAGTTCAAATCCGGCCTCAGACACATACTACTCACTAGCTGTGCCACCCTGGGCAAGTCACTTAACCCCATTTCCCAGCTAAATAAATAAATTAATTCAATGGGTGTGACACCAGCTCTTACCTCCTCAGGTTGTTGACAGGATCAGGTAAGATAATTGGAGGAAAGTGCTATAGGAATCTCAACTCTTTTTAGTCTTCCTATGATAATGAATACAGAACCCCGTCTGACCCTTCTGACTTCATCTAACTGTCGTCTATCAGAATTCTGGACCTAGAACCAGGAAGGCTTGGGTTCGAATCCTGTCTCTTACACATACTGGCCACATGATCACGGGCTAATAATTTGACTTCTCTGAACCTTTAAGACTTGTCTACCAAATTAACTGTCTGTGTTCATGGACACTGAAGAAATCACAGATCCTTGATGGTACAATGCCAAGAACCCTGGACTCAGGTAAAAGACCTGGGTTTGAGTCTCAGCTCTGACCCTTCCTTGGGCAAGTCAGATTCAAAGGTGGAAAGAACCTTCAAGGTCACTGAGTTCAGGTCCCTCATTCTATAGAGGAGGAGGTGAGGCCCAGAGAAATGAAATGATTTGGGGGCGGCTAGGTGGTGCAGCGGATAGACCACCAGCCCTGGAGTCAGGAGGACCTGAGTTCAAATCCAGCCTCAGACACTTGACACTTACTAGCTGTGTGACCCTGGGCAAGTCACTTAACCCCAATTGCCTCACCAAAAAAGAAAAAGAAAAAGAAATGAAATGACTTGCCTAAAGTGTCCCAAGGCTCAAATTCAAGCCGAGGCCACATTGTTTTATAGTTCTGTGCCTCGGTTTCTTCCTCTGCAGGCTTAGATGCATATTGGCATATTCACTCCATACATCATTGTGGAGTGAAAGGAGGACACCGTCTGCTTCAGCAGTTTTTGGCCTCAGGACCCTTTCATATTCCTCAGAATTATTGAGGACTCCCCAGAGAGCTTTGGGTGGGCTCTGTCTATCAGTATTGACTGTATTAGAAATCAGAACCTCTTAGAATTATTATGAAAGTCGTCTTGACCTTTCCAACCCCCTAAAAGAGTCTTGGGCAGTCCTGGGGGTCCCTCCAGCTACCTAGAGAACTGCCAATCTGTCATCCCCTGCCAGAAGCCCGTACTCACCCCAGTTGCAGCAGAGGACCAGGGCAACCAGACTGAGAACAGTGGTCAGCTTCATGGTGGAGCCGGGGTCGGTCAGCCTGTGTCTGGAAAGGTGGTGGAGGCACCCTTAGTGTAACCCACAAAGGCTTCACTCTTATATCCCATGGGCAGCACCTTGACCTTCCCCTTGGGAGATGGAGAGGGGTCAGGGCGGTTCTACCCCAATATTTACTTGGGTCTTAGGGGAAAAGCGCAAATATCCTGCTTGTTCTCTTTCCCATGGAAAATGGTCCTCCATAATGCAATACTTTAGGGCCCCCTCAAGAGCTCTTTTGTTCTGGCCTCCACAGGACACCCAGGATGGCGAGCCTTTGCTGGCCTCATTCCAGTTGGACCTGAATGCTGGTGAAAGATGGAACAGAAGCACATAAAAGGGAACTTGGAATGTCAGAGCTTAAAGGGACACAGAATGTCAAGACACGTGTAACCCATGTCAAATTGCCTGCCTTCTCAATGGGGAAAAGGGAGGGAGGGAGAGAATTTGGAGCTCAACATTTGAAAAAAGAGAGTTAAATTATTTTTACATGTAATCAGAAAAAAATAAAATATTAAATTAAAAAAATGCAGAATATCAGAGCTGGAAGGAACATTAGAATATAGGATGGCAAAGTGAGGAGACTGCTAAGAATGTAGTGAGGATACAGAATGTCATGGCTGGGAGGGACCTTAGAATATGGAAAGTCAGAGCTAGAAGGTGTCTGGAGTGCCGGAGCTAGAAGAAAACAGAGAATCTGTTTGGTCAGAAATGAAAGGAATCTTAGGACATAAAATAGAGACTGTCAGAGATGGGAGGGACTTTGGGACATAGAATGGGAGAGCCGAAAGAGCAGACCTTAGCATAAAATACCCATAGAATGTCAGAGCTGGGGGAGACCTTGGAACACAGCTGGGAGGGTGGGACCCTGTGTTTTAGTGCATAGAACATTAGAGCTGGAACAGAGGGACCTTAAAACATAGAGTATCAGAGCTAGGGGAGACCTTAGAACACAGAATACAGCCTTCACAGCTGGGAGACTGGGACTGTGTGTTTCAGAACATAGAACATCAGAGCTGGAATAGAGGGACCTTAGCACATAGAATGTCAGAGCTGGGAGAGACGTCAGACTATCAGAACTGGAAGAGTCTTTAGAACCCCAAACCCAGAATGTCTAAGCTAGGAAGGCTGATAAAGATCACCTAGTCTGCAACCCTTGCCCCTGGCCATTTTGCAGATGAAGAAACTGAGGCTAACAGAAGAAAAGGAACCTGCCCAGGGTCACACATCTCATTAACTGCAGAGCTGGGGCTGGAATCAAGTCAAAGTATCTATGAAGCACCTACTACATGTCAGGCATGGCGCTACATGCTGGGCATGCAAAGAAAGGCAAAAGCCAGGCCCTGCTCTGGGCCAGGTTCCTCTTTCAGACCACAGGGATTCAAGACGAGGTGGCCTTAAGGCAGGGACACTGAAGGCCTTTGGCCCAGAGGGAGAGGCTGCAGGTCCAAATGTCTCGATCCATGTGAAAGGTGGTTCTCACGGAGCTCAAACCCACCACTTTGTCTCAGGCCAGGCTATCACCATCTCCCCAGAAGCTGCTGCTCCCAGGATTTGGTCTTGGGGAAAGAGCCCTCGGCAGGTCAAGTCAGGAGACACGAGTCCCGGCTTTGGTGGGACTTCTAGCGATGTAATGTTGGAAATTAGCTGAGTCTCTGTCTCCGAGTCTCTGTACGATGTGGATAACCATACTTCCAAAGTCTTCCTCCTCTCAATGGGTTCTTTTTGGGGGTGGGGAAGATGCTTTCTAAACATTGAAGTGCTAGGCAGAATGGGTTATCATCAGTGGTGTCGTCCCCAAACCACAGGGTAATGAGAGGCAATGTGGGGTAGTGAAAAGAATTACAGCTCAGGAGTCAGAGGGCTTGGGTTCAAATCCTGGCTTGGTTACTTCCTACCTCTGTGACAAGTCACTTCTCCTCTAGGCCTTGGGGGGTGGGGGTGGGAATGATCACAAAGGTCCCTGATTCTCTGTTTGTGCAGTCCCTGGCTGGAGACATGAAGGCCTGCCCCAGGAAAGGGCCTCCAGAAAAGAAAATTCATCTTTATAAAAGATTTTGCTTCCAGGGGTCTGGGGGTGGCCACCAAGGCTGAACGCTGGTTCTTGCTGTGTGGCCTCAAGGACTTTGGGATTCCTCCCTCCCCCTTTTCCGGTGTTCTTGGCTTTTACCCCCTCCTCCCCTGTTTCTACTGGCTATGCCCTGACATCTCTGGCATCCACCTGTGAGGGCACTGGGCCTCTCAGAAAAGGCTGGAAGTAGAGGCAAGATGTTCTGAAGGGTCTCCTCCCAACTCCGGGTCCAGTGCTCTAACCACTACACCATCCTGCCTTTATCGGAGTCAGGGCTACACTCAAATCCTATGGCCCAATCCCGTGTGGTTGGACAGTCTGTTCTTTTCTTTATTCTCTGTAAAACAAGGGGGTTGGGCTCCCTCTTCAAAGGCCTTCTCTGGCCCTATGTCTATGAAATAAGCTGCTGGGCAAATGCTTGACTGTCCCTTCAGGTAAGTCCTGTCCAGACTCCCTCCCTGAGGGGGCGGAGGAGACAAGTAACCATCCCCGAACAGTAGGGGAAGAACGGATGAGGTCAGAGGAGGGGAAGCCCTGACAGTTAAGGGATGGGAGACAGGAGAAAATGTTGGCTGAATAAGATCCCTAGTCACCTCACCTCTCTATGCCTCAGTTTCTTCACCTGTAAAACGAGAAAGGGGGACTCACTGACCTCCAAGTTCCTTTGAATCTCTGGAGAAGAAGGGGTTTTTTGAACCAAATACTTTTGACGGTCCCTAATAGCTATAAATTCTGTGGAAGAGAGAGCCCGTGAGGCCCTTCCCCTGATGCGGTGCATTTGGGAGCTAGGAGGAAGCAGAGACCCAGACAGGGGAATGCCCGGCTCCTGGGGTCCTCTGGCACCAGGCTGCCTCCAGCCCGCAGCCGACTCTGAATCTCCCTCCAACACTCCTGCACTGGAAGACCTTTAGGGATGGGGAACTCACTTTCCTCTGACAGCACTTTCAGTCTTTCTGAGCTGCGGCTGGCTGACCAGGGGCTTCCCCTGGCTCGTTACCAGCTTGTCACATCAACGAGATCATGGCCAACCTTTATAACATGCTTTGTGGTTTCCCAGGTTCCCTTGTCGGCACTAGCTCACATCCTGTGTCCAATAACTCCATGAGAAAGGTTAGGTTGGAGGAGAGTGGCCTGTTCCACAAGATTCAGAGAAGGTAAGCCACCTGTCTCAAGTCACACAGCAAGGGACAGATCATGGAATGGAATCCAAGTGGTCTGACTCCAGTCCCAGGACTGGGATGCCTCAGGGGCTTTAGGGGAAGAGAAGGCACTTTGGGACTCTGCAGCATGGCTGATCTTTTTTTTTGGGGGGGAGGGTCTAGGCAATGGGGTTAAGTGACTTGCCCAGGGTCACACAGCTAATACGTATCAGGTGTCTGAGGCTGAATGGGTGGTCTTTACATAACAAGTCTTCCCCTGGGAGACAGGCGGAGTTCTCTAGCAAGCCAGTGCTAAGGAAGAAGCGGATTCAGAGCCGGGGGCCCCCCCCAGCCCCCTCCCCAGTGGGTCAGGAGTGCCCAGCAGCATCACCAAGGTCAAGGGAAGAGCCAGTGGCATCTTCGTGATCTTTTGGTTTGGAAAAAGGGCCTGGATTTCCCTGGAGGTGGGGAGAGCCGGCTGGTCTGGCTGGTCTTTACAAACGGGTTTAGGCACGGTAGGAGGCAGGGCTGCTCCTGCTCAGGGCTTGGCATTTGGACCAGTGGAATCCTGGTGGGTCCCAGGCTCTGCCCCAGGACCTGTGAGCACTGGAGCCCACATCACAGATGAGTGTTTATGGGCTGGACGCTAACCCAGTTTGCTTCTAAGTGCCCACTGGCATTTCCTCTGCTGGGCTGTATTAATATCTGAAAGTAGAGGGAGGGAATATGGCACGTTGGAGAAAATGCCATCTGTGGAGGCGGAGGACCCAAGCGCACATTTACTCCTTGTTCCCCCTCTGTGGCCAGAGCAAAGTGAGCCCCTTTTCCATTTGCCTGAAAGACACACTCCCCCCCGCCCCCAGCTGGTCCTGGCTAAACTTCCCTAGTATTTTTAATCAGTCTCCAGATGGCAGCTTCCCGTCCTCCTCTCACCATCTTGGTCACTCCTTCAGGAGCTCTTTGGATCATCAAAGGGTGGCACCTCTCTTGATGACGCCTGACCAGGGCAAAGGAGGGCAGAACCGTTATGAGAGCCATGTTTTGTCCTTAATAAAGTTTATCGTTCTCAGCTCAAAGCCCCCCAACAAAACCCACCCTAATCAGGGGCATTCAGCTTCTCTCAATGCTGCCTAATCTCGAATGAACTTTTATAGATTTAGAGCTGGAAGGGACCTTAGAGGCCAATGCTTTCATTTTACAGATGGGGAAACTGAGGCCCAGGGAGATTAAGTGACTTTCTAAGGTCACATGGGATTTGAACCTGTGTCCTCTAATCATTGTACCAATCACCCTGCCTCCCAAGCTTTCTTGGCTGTCATATTCCTGCTTTGATTTTATACCCTATACCAATGCCAGCTCAAAATAAGTGAGAACCTAGATCTTTTTCAACAAGTCTGCTGTCTAGCCACACTTGGAACACAAGTGGAGGACTTTACATTTAGAATATAAATAAAATGCTCAAGAATGTGTGCAACTGTGAGCTTCATAAACTCTTGTTGAGTAAAGTGAGTCAATGAATGAATGAAGGACTTTATCTTCCAGTCAGAGACCTCCAGTTCCTAGCTCCTGGTGGGGCTTGAATTCTTTATCTAGCTCTAGTGCAAATAGGGAAGGAGGCAAAGGAAGGACTAGGACTTAATCTCCCCCAGTGCAGATTTTGGGAAAATAATGTATCTCCCCAGGGAATATTAACCCTCTCCTTGAGACCTGCTGTTTCTTTGTGGAATTCACCTCATTTGACCTTAAGTGCCCTATACAAATTGATTTCCACTGTCAGGACCCTGTCCACATTCCAGAAGCCAGAGGAGAGGCATTGCCTCTTTGGGGGTTGGGATGGGGCAGG